GTATATATATATATATATATNTACGGTATATATATATATATATGTACGTATATATATATATATATATGTACATATATATAAATATATATATATATATATCGAACCAGTATACCAAGGCAGAAAATTGGCTCCACTTTTACAGGCTAAGTATGTAGGTTACAAGCTACAACCATAACAGAATATGGAACAAAGATGAATGTTGACCATCAGGTTTAACAGAACAGATATCAGATCCAAGATAAGATGGAATACCAGTGATTTAAAAAGCGCTAGGCGCCAAGGTCCAAAAACGCCCGAGGCGCTAGGCGCTCGGCTAGGCGCTCGCCCGAGCGAAACGAGGCACTAAAATATAAAAATATATAATATAATTAATATAATTATTTAAATAAAAAATATGCTATTAAATTAAGAAAATCGAGTACAAAATCATAATTTCATATTAATAAAAAGTCTCAAAAATCAAAACAATAAAATTTTACATCAAATCTATTGAGTTGCTCTGTACACTTGCCATTTATTCTGAAACCTAACAATAATTTTAAATAAATAAAAATTAATAGTATTAAAATCAAAATAATATATTATTAATCTAATAAATAAAAATACTACTATTAGTATACAGTTAACAGTATACTGTTAATATACTGTTAACAGTATAGTGAGAAGAGTGTGAGAAGACTAAGGCTGCTAAGGCAACGATAGCGGTAGCGGGAGCTGCGAGCGACGAGCGACGATAACAGCGATGAGCGACGATTGTGGTAGCGGCGAATAGTGACAATGGCAGCGGCAGTGGCAGCAGAGAGCAACGACAACGGAGAAAAAATCTCAACGGCAAAATCGCGAGTGTTAGGGTTGGGGAAGTCGGAAAAATCGTGAGAGGGAGCCTATCGGTGATTTAGTTGGTTCGATTGAACCAACTAAAGCACCGGAGACTGAACCAGACGTAAAACACTGGTTCGGTCGCCTGGTTTAACCCGGGCACTCGCCCGAAGCGCCCGGCGCCTGGGCTCGGGCGAGCGCCTAGGCGGCGCCTCATTGAAGCGAGGCGCTTGGACATGAAGCGAGGCGCTCGGGCCTCGCCTCGCCTCGCCCGAGCGCCTAGGCGAGTGCCCGAGCGCCTATTGAAATCACTGTGGAATACTGACAGCCCATGAAGCAGATACTGGTTAAGACTAGGTTCTGATACTTCAGTATGTTCAGGAAACCGCCACAGTCCAAATATTCATCTTCTAGATATATAGGCATTTACAGTGTTACTTTTGCTTCTTTTTATTGAGAGAGCAAAAGTAACTAACTAGAGCAGTTCAATCATAGTTCAGTAGTTAATATCATAAATTAGAAACAGGAAAAGTAATATTGCCAGAGCATATTTTGGAAGAAAGTAGAGGCCACCTCTTAAGACTCTCCCCCTCTACTCTTTGTGGACTGTCACAGAACTTGAGTATATAATATTATAAGTTAATCAGATATTGGTAAACAAGGAGAGGCAGCTCTATTTTGATAGGAAAAGTTATCTAAGGCCTTACCTTCTCTTTCAGGTCAATCCTTATCCAGTTTATTCCACTCTCCTTTCCCAAATAAGACTGCAACGTTGATCCTCCTTTCCTAGTATGTGTAAGGCGATTCATTCAAATCGGCTTCTTTCTTCACCCCTTACAACGTCAAGCCATTTCTCGTCTTTAATCATCCAAAGCTGATTGCATATGTGTGCATGCTTGAAAGTACTGGCCAGTCCCATATTCCGAAGCTGGTCAGACATTGGATCCGAAGGTTCACATCAGATTCAATCTGTTTCTGATTGCATGTGTGGATGCTTGAAAGTACTGGCCAGTCCCATATTCCAAAGCTGGTCGTACATTGGCTTGTTGACTCAAGCCAAAGGTTCACATCAGATTTAATCTGATTCATAGCAATGGTACATATGTCATTTGCTCCAATTGGTATGTTTCCTTTATTTTATTAGAATCTTGTTTAATCAATTTACAAACTAAGAAGTCTGGTTTAAGGATGCATTCACAAAGAACTTAGCATGAAAGACAAATCCAGCATTTCCTCATCAAGAGAGAACCACAGCTTCACAACAACGTCAAAGAACCACACTTTTCAACGAAGTACAAAATTTAAAATTAAAATGAGTTTAAGCTGGAACTAATCCAAGAGCATAACCAATAATCAGGATCCCAGACAATTTAATATGGATGTCATTTTCAAATAAGTTAATCAATAACCAATACACCCAGCCATAGAGATTAACTAATAACTATTAATCTATAAAAAATAAGTATAAGTTGAACCTGCATGAGCTGAATACTGACTGGCTTTAATTGGCTTCTTACAAGCATTGCAACAAACCTTGGACATAAATAGTATTGTTAGGGGAGATTTAAGAGGCAAAAAGATAATATAATTGAGAAAGAAACAGTAAACAATATGTTTTAATTGTATTATTTTTGGTGAATTTGAAGTGTACATTTGAACAGATATGCTATACTATTTTAGAAAGAGAACTACTACTTTACATGATGGTCTTTACAATTAGCGATAGCCCAATATCATGCAATTGTAATTAAAAACAATTTTATAGGTGATATAAGAAAAATGGTAAAATGATAATAACTCAGAAAATGAGATAATACATTTGAAGGCCATAAGTTATGAATAAGTAAAATACATGCTATAAAGTTAACCATTATAATCAAGATAAATGACACAAAAGGGCATAATCTTGTTGTTGATGTGACTTCATAAACATAAAATTCAGAATCAAAAGCAATATGGAGATATTTTATATAAAATCCGATGCTTAGCATGTTACTAAAGTTAACCATCAAAATCAAGATAAATAGGATGAAAGGCCATAATCCTGTGTGGCTTCAGAACCATAAAACTCAGTGGCCAAAAGGCCCAAAACAGTAAGGAGATATGATTTCTTAAATTAAATTGTCATGATTAGCATGTTCCTATGTATACCGACTCTCATGTTACAAGTCAAAAAATACAATGATTACTGAATTCTGCACCAGTCCATGCCACCGAATGCCAAATAACAAGGAATGGTGGTAGACATAGGCAGAATAAGAATATGCATGCCAACTAGAGGTGTCTCATACCTGCAGGGACCCACCCCTAATGGGGTGGGGATGGGGACAAGGATGGGGAAGGGTAAAGCACTCCCCATCCTATCCCCACTCCATTTATGTTATTATATTATATTATATATAATATATAATATATTTAGTAATAATAATATAAATAAAAATATACATATTTGAGAATTGAACCCAATACCTATAACTCCAACATTAACCATTAAACCAATCTTGTGTTTAATTTTTTAATACATTTAAAAATTTTATAAACAAAATAATAGAAAAGCTAAATAAAATATTCCATCAAAAGTTCAAAACACTAACTGAGATTCGCCATTTCACTAAAAAAACTCCTCATTAGTCATAATTTTTAGTCACAAACATTAGGACTTGTCATCAAAAGATAATTTATTGATGAGATTGCCATTAAAAATATTTTTAATGACAACAAATATTTTGTCACTAAAACATCATCGCTGAATCTTTTAAATTTACAAATTGATAACAATTTTGTCACTAATGTTGTCACGAATATTTTAGGGCTTGTGATGACAACTTATAATTGTGACAAATAATATTTTCATTAATAGACTTGAATATTGTTGTCACTAAAACTACTATTAGTGACAAATCATAAATTGTCATTAATGCTTATTTTAATATTTGAGCTTTTAGATTTAAATGTATATTAAATTTAAAGGGATGCACGATCTAGACCATAGACTTATGTGTGATTTGAACCATAGGATCACTTGATCCTACGATTAAGATGAGAAAGATAAACCCTAAATGCTTCACTGCTACTATTGTGAGAGGAACCCGTTGCGATTCAATTTTTTGGAGAAACGATCGATCTACATTCCCTTTGACAATCGATGATTGGCAACAACTCCCCTTCATTGGTATCCCTCTCTCTTCCCTCTTCTCCGTTTCCCAGTAACCACCACACCTTCCCCTCTTCCCTTCCATCTTTTCCCTTTTCCAATAGCAGTTACCTCCACTACCACCCCCTTTCGTCAAAAGCACATCCCCCTTCTATGTATGTAGGATCTATCTTTCACAAATATGTGAGCATGGAAATTAGAAAAGTGGGATTAATAAAGAAATTTATTAATTTATAGATTTATTTGAATATATTTATATTTATTTGGTTGTGGATATAATTGGATATATTTGGTTTTGTTTATATTTTGATATATTTATATTTGAATATTGTTATGACGTGTAAACTTTATAAATATTATTGTTATTATTTGTTAATTTAGAATTGTTAATTAATTTTGACAATAATTTTTTAAAATAAAATTGATTAATTAGAAGAATATGGAGAACCCGCAAGTTCTCCATCCTTGCCCCCACCTCGTCTTAATGGAGAATGGGGTGAGCATGAGGGATAGGGAATGAGACGGGGATGGAGAAGCACTCCTGGCTCTTGCCCTTTCCCATTGACATCCCTAAAGGGGAGCTGTTACCAATCATCGATCATCAATTGTCAAAGGGAATGTGGGCTCGATTGCTTCTCCAAAAGATTGAATCGTTGTAAGTTCCTCATACAACAATAACAGTAAAGCATTTAGGGTTTTTTATCATTCTCATCTCAGTCGTAGGATCAAGCAACCCTATGGTCTAGATAATATATGAGTCTACAGTCCAAATCGTGCATCCCATTAAATTTAATATATATTTAAACCAAAAAACTTAAATATTATAAAATAAACATTAGTGACACTGTATAATTTGTCACTAATAGTAGTTTTAGTGACAGCAATATTAATGTCTATCAATGAAAATATTATTTGTTATAATTATAAATTATCATCATAAGACCCAAAATATTCATGATAACATTAGTGTCAAAATTATCACTAATTTATAAATATAAAAAATTCAATGATGATGTTTTAATCATAAAATATTTATTATTATTAAAAATATTTTTAGTGATAATCTCATCAATAAATCATTTTTTGATAACAAGTCTTAATATTTGTGGCTAAAAACTTGTGACTAATGAGGAGTTTTTCTTTATGGTGAAGAGGCAAACCTGAATTAGGGTTTTGAACTTTTGATGAAATATTTTATTTATTTTTCTATTATTTTATTTATAAAATTTTTAAATATATTAAAAATTAAACATAAGATTGGTTTAATGGTTAATGTTGAAATATTAAAGTCATAGATATTGGGTTCAATTCTTAAATATGTATATTTTTATTTATATTATTATTAATGAATATATATTATATACTATATAATAACATAAATGGGACAAGAACAGATAAAGAATGCATCTCATAATAATATAGACAATAGAAAATGCCCCTCAGCCCCACCCCCATCCCTATTTATTCCCCCTATCCCCATAGGTGCCTATACCCACGAGTATAATTGACATCTCTACTCCCCTTCGACGGTAGTATCCCTCTCTCTCTCTCTCTGTCTCTCCTCTTCTCCCTTTCCCAGTAACTGTCACACCTTCCCCTCTTCCTTACCATCTTCTCCTTTTTCCAACAACAACTACCTCCGCTACCACCCCCTTTTGTCAGAAGCACATCCTCCCTCTAATTTATGTGGGATCCATTACATGAGCATGAAAATTAGAAAAGCAAAATTATTTGAGAAAATTATTAATTTATAAATTTATTTGGATATATTTGTATTTATTTGGTTGTAGTTATATTTGGATATATTTGGTTATATTTATATTTAGATATATTTGTATTTGAATATTATTATTATGTGTAAACTTTATAATATAATAATAATTATTATTTATAAATTTGATATTGTTAATTAGTTTTTATAATAGTTTTATTTCAAAAAAAATATAATGTATTAATTAAGAGAATATGTAGAACTCGTAGATTCCCCGCCCTCGCCCTGTCTAAATAGAAAATGAAGTGGGGATGGGAGATGGGGGATGAGACGGGGACAGGGGAAGCACTCCCCGCCCAAGCCCACCTTGTTGACATCCTTAATGCCAATTTGCTTAAGATTTTATAATCATTCGTTGTTTCAATAAGATGAGTTACAACCATACATTTTTGACGGATTTGGTGGTCTTGATAGAAAAATTCTATGAAATCATTGAAATAAAGAAATAAATAAACCAAAAGAAAAGCTAGAAAGAATTTTGGCAATATTTTTGAAACATTTTTACTCATAAATACATATATTTGTGGTTTATCATCATTTTAGATATTTCAAAAACAATTTTTAGTGATGAAAACTTTGGTTTTATAAACCTTATTTATTAGTTTCAAGTAAACGCCATCAAATTAGATAATCTCGTATCAGCAATAAAGTGTTGCAATTAAAGTTAGGCTATAATTGTCACAAAATACTAGAGCTATTGACAAATCAGTAAATTTCCACCCTAAGAAAATCTCTTTTTAATAGATTTTTCAATTTTGGTAGGAAATTCAATCAAGTATGTGATAGTCTTGCTAATAAGTAGACTGCATCAAGATCCAACAAACACTTATCAAATTGATATGAGTAGGTAGATTTATAATGTCGCAGTTTTGTACTTAACCAGCATAGCAGCATGCCACAACATTAAACATGATGTAACTAAATCTTTCTTGGGATATCAATTCATAAGCTTCTTGCATCTATTATGACTAAAAAGTTGTTTAAGAATTTGTTTTCCTTTCTCAGTTTTCAGAACAAGCAGGGGAAAAGAACAAGAAAATAGAAACATGGTAGGCGTTTCATTTTCAAGAATAGTTTCCATCCATTGATCCTCACCCGAATCCTCTCAGCCATGCCAACACTCATCGTAATCAGCACCTCACCACCACCCCTCCCCCCCCTCCCCCCTTCTCTTTCATAATTGTCAGTACATTATCACCTTCTCTCCTCTTTCCATCATACCATCCATACCAATTCTCATCCTGGTGTCTCCTGCTCTCCTCCATCTAAAAGTAGGTCATGGCATAGATGATCACAAACAACTAGCATCCAAGCTCATAGCTAAGATGCAGGTGGCGCAGTTCAGGACATGGTTAGTTGGAGAGGACTGGTTGGTGGATACGGGGGTCAGGCAAAGATGGCGATGGCCTATGGCAATCATTGTGATGCAGATGCAGCGGTCCATTGGTTTTCACTGATGAGTCCATTAAGTAAATTGGACAAGAGAACAACAAGAACTTAAGAAATAAAAGAATATTAAACAAGTACCATTGGTCTCTATCTCAATTTTATGAGCTAAACGAAGATATGATCTCAGGTAACAGTTTTAGAGGACTGCTGAAGACTCAAAATGGCCAAATCTTCTGTGAGAAACTATCTTGATCAATACATGAACATTACAAGGAAGACTCGAAGTTAGCAGCCATTTCTATGACTCGAATCCCCCATGTCATAAAAGAGCAATTTCACCATGATACCAAAACTCCTAAAACACTTCTTAAGATATCAGAAGTTAACAATACATGAGTTCTGAACCAAAGCAGAAAAATGCTGCCAATAAACAGATTACTGCAAGAAGAAAATCTCAGATGCAACTGAAAACGAAAATGCATTGAACTTTGAAATATATGCTGAATTATACAACTTAAACTGTATTATAAGAGTAAGCTGCTATGAAATGCTTATTCAAGACATTCATCAAGCTCTGTATAGTATGCACCAGAAAACAAAGAAATTACCAGGTGAAGGGGATCTGTCAATGGTCTACAATCAAAGACATGCATATCTGCACAAGTGACGAGAAAAAAAGTAATTTAATTGGTTTTTTTAATAACAAACAAATGGCAAAGAAACTTCAACTTTAACTAGCAGCAAGTCTAATAAGGAAAAGATTATTAGAAAAATGCCAATCCAAGTAACCTCTTGAACTATTATATATATTGGAGATAAGAATCCTTATGCAAAATTCTATGTCAACTTGTGGATCATACACTAAACTATTAGAAAAAGACTCGTTGGATTCAGCAATGGGATGGATCGCAGGATGGGGGGCTAGCAGCCAGCCATATCCAGTGTGTGATGTTGGTGAAGAGAAACAAGGAGAAACAAAAGTCATTCTGAAACTGAAGCTACTCATGATTTTTATCTTGCTTTGAGGCTAGCTAACATCAATCTGGACTCAGTCTAGATAAGTTTCACACTGGAATGAATTGAAATCAAATAAGAAGGGAGACCAGGTTAGCACGACGCAAAACTTGGTAGTCTGCTTCCTTCTCCCTGATTGGACAGGCATATACCAGCCAAAAGAAGTGGTACACCACAAGATGGCAATTCTTGCTCTCACTATACCATGATAGCAAACATGCAATTATGCATCAAGTATGATTTCACACTCGTAACTATTTGGATCAAGGTTTATTAACCGGGCCTGTACTGGTTGGTATAGGCTGGTGAATACCAGTCTAATCGTGAAATGTTATGTAGAGTTGTAGACCATTATGTTTTTGCCCAGTTTGTGTTCATCCCAGGCTTCTCTTCTGGTATAAATCTTACCATATGTGCCACCTGATTCTAATTGTTGGAACCAGGTGTACCAGCAAAAAGGCCTACTGCCTGATACCTTATGAATTTTATTTTAATTTTTGAAACCCATCTTCTTTTCGTTTTTATTTCATTATCTTCTCTCAGCATTCTATCTCTCTCTCTTTCTCTCTCTCCTGTGCTTTTTCTCTCTCCCTTTCTCTGCCTCTTTCTCCTCCTCCATCCCAGCATGTCACTGCTGGCTCCTACTCCTTGTAAAACCACCACCTCCTCCCACATCTCCTATCAGCATGCCTCTTCCTCTGCCTCCACCTCTATGTTCTCCTCCTCCTCCTCCATCTCCACTTCTGCCTCCACCTCCCCTCATCCTACTCCTCCTTCCCCATCTTCTCTTCCTCTTTCTCTTTGGACTGAAGTGTATTAATCCATATCAGGTGACAGCACGTCAATCCATAATGGTGTCGTACTGGTCAGCCATTGACCAAAGTCAGCACCAGACTGAGATTTTATAACTCTAATGGCACAATGCATCATCCATCCAGCTTCTTATAAATAAAAGTAAGTTGATGATTATACAGCCAAATCTTCTGATACTACAGCAGTTCAAAACATGGCAACTGCATTCAATTTCATCCTTACTAGACTACACTAGTAAACATCCAAATCAACAGCACTCAGCACCACTGTGATATAAATGTGACGTGATGATAAATGCACAAAGATCAGCCAATGTAAAAGCATAAAAGAAAGATACTGAATTAAATTCCAGTATAAAAACATAATGTAACTTTATTGTAGAAAGTAAGAAAAACAACCTTCTTCTTCAAGTAAGTTTGCCTCATCCGCATCATGAAATTCATTGTCTATGGATTGAGTAGCAATTTTCTCATTGATTGCCTCTTCTGCAAAACATGAAGAAATATTATCTATAATAGTACAATACAGCTGTTCTGAGATAATTCATTTGATAAAAAAACCATAACTAGGAATATCTAAATTAGTTCTTAGTTTTTGTAGAGTCATAGAAGAGCTAGATCAATAGACTTAAACACGAGTCATCACAGTGAAATCAAAAGCAAACAACAGAAAGACATATTGGAAACTGTTGAACAAAAAAGATGGTTTGTTTTAGGTGTTGCTCCACATAAACAATTAATATAAATGTATCTATATGCATACCTTACATCTACCTAGTTCAACTAACATGGCATTGGTATTCAGATACTACTACCTCTAGCAAGCAGATATCAAAAATCAACAAGGATATGAACACATTCAATATGGGAAACAATTGCTCTACACTAGGACATGGACACAAATTGGATATAAATCAGTACCATCGTTACTATGTATGGAAATAGGTATGGTAAGGACATTGAATATCTATACTAAACGAATTTAAATTATTATGATACCATTAGACCTGATAGTATAACTGACTCATTAATCTAATAGCCCTGAACCTCTAGCTCAAAATGTTTAAGTTCAAACTAATAGTAGTAGACTCATCTAACTATATAAACCAACTCAAATCTCCTACTTCGTATGAGACTAAAATAGGGTGTCAGAATTTTCCCCCTAGGATGACTTCTTCATCAAAAGCCAGCTCATAGCCTAGAATCAAGCACTAATAAGGTGCATGGGTTTCAGTCCAGTGATGACTTCATGTTAAGAGGTGTCCTTGGTCTCTTTCTACTAAATCACTCATCATGTTTAATACTAAACCCGCTCTAACACCACTTGTTACAATCCAATCTGATAGGATAAATTATCTATTAATTTAATAGGTCTGAACCAGCAGCCCAAAATGCTTACATTGAAGTCAATAATAGACATATTAACATTACTAAACTGGGATGTCATAAATATTCCAGTAAACCTCCATATGTTCTCTACCTAAATGAATGGATGCTTAGTCAATACATCATGTTACAATGTCAGTGTGATTTCTACAATTTTACCAAGTACAAAGGAAATAACCCAAACATGCCAACAAGCTTTTTTTTTAGACATAAAGGCCCGAAAAGAAAAGTGGTTAGCAGAAATGAAAAGTGAACACCTCAAATACCAAAAAAAAGTCTAAAAATTATCTTATTTAGCCAAGTTCTGCCATGTTTAAGTATCTGCTATTAGTGAAATTTAGCTCCATTAAGACTCAAGCCATGTTCAAAGCAGTGATTTCAATAGGCGCTCGGGCAAGATGAGGTGAGGCCCGAGCGCCTTGCTTCATTTCCAGGCAACACACTTCAAAGAGGCGCTACCTGGGCACTCGCCCGAGCCCAAGCGTCGGGCGCTTCGGGCGAGCGCCCGGGTTAAACCAGGCGACCGAACCAGTGTTTTAGGTCTGGTTCGGTCTTCGGTGCTTTAGTTGGTTCAATCGAACCAACTAAAGCACCAATATCAGCCTTCCTATCGTGACTTCCCAACCCTAACCCTGCTCACCGCTGCCGCTTCTCGCTGCTACCACTGCCGCTGCTCACTTCTATTGCTACCGCTGCCACTATCACCGCTCCCGCTCCCGCTGCTCTCTGCTACCTCTGCCACTGTCGTCACTCGCAGCTCCCTTTCCCGCTGCCACTGCTTGTTGCTACCGCTGCTTATTGTTGTCGTTGCCACTGTCGTCACTTGCCTCTCCCGCTCCCGCTGCTCGCTGCTACCACTACCACTGCCACTGTCGTCACTCACCGCTCCCTCTTCCGCTGTCGTTGCTCTCAGTCAGCAGCCTTGATCTTCCTCTTACTCACACTCTTCTCACTTCGTATACTGTTAACAGTATATTAACAGTATACTACTAACTGTATACTAGTAATAATATTTTTATTTATTAGATTAATAATATATTATTTTGATTTTAATACTGTTAATTTTTATTTATTTGAAATTTTTGTTATTGTTTTGAATTTTGAGACTTTTTGTTAATGGGATATTGTAATTTTACAAGATTTTCTTAATTTAATATCATATTTTTATTTAAATAATTATATTTATTAATTATATTATATATTTTTATATTTTAGCGCCTCGCTTCGCTCGGGTGAGCGCCTAGCGCCTCGAGCGTTTTTGGACCTTGGCGTCTTTTGGCACCTAGCGCTTTTTAAATCACTGGTTCAGAGTCTTCAGACCTCTCTATCATATCCATTTTTAAGCCTATGTAGAGGACAAATTTATTAGACAAGGTGTAGATATCTGAGAACATATGAAAAAAATGATGGCAAACATGAACAGCTGTTCATAAACAAGAAACTATGACAAAGAGGGAAAGGCCTAAGATTTTGCATAGTGGCAATTTATAGAAAAAATTTAGAACTTGCAGAACAGTAGGTATCTGCTGATAATGGTAATAACTTCTATAACAACTAAAGCTAACCTGGTTATTGCTACCAAGGCTTCATTTGAGGCAGTGATCACAGTTATATCGTTTTTGCTCTTCAAGATTAGTGAAAAAAAAAAGTGATAGGCGAGCACCACAGACACCAATAAAATCACTACTTTCCAAGTCAAACAAAACTGTCAAACATGAATTGAGAGAAACAATTATACCTAGTACTACTTTAACCTTCTTTACCGTCATCCATATAAAATCCGTTGTATTTACCCATTTCCTTCCTAACAATACAAACATTTGAAATTTCCACCGTTTCCAAGCTGAAACTATACCAGAAGTGAAATCATCCTGATTGTGGCCAATTAACCAGCATGGCCATTTCAAAAGAAATCAAATCAGACAGTTGTCAGCTATTATGTAGTTTTGGTCAATTCAATTTTAAACCACTATAAACAAATGGAAGTCCAATCATTCACTTGAGTTGAGAAGAATCCGTGCACGTCTATCTCATCCTAAATTCATCAAAGGCTATCAGTACTCCACAACCTTCTTCAACCTCTATTTCAATAAAAGATAACAGAAACAACAGAACAAACAAAATCACTTACTTCTAGGCAGAAAACACTTGAATAAATATAAAGAAAATATTTTCTCTAATATTAAGGTAACTTCTGAGACCAAAAATCGAGTTTCTTTCTTCTTTTAATAGATCCAGCTACGGGTTTAGGATTCCATGAAAACAATTAATTATTTCACAGACATTGTCATACACAAAAGAAAACTTTCGATGGATATTCAAAATTAACATTCAAATTTATTTCTCCATTTTGTAAGGAATATTACAGTATGTCAATGATCACATTAATTTTCAATATCAAGTTGCTAGTATTTGTCCTAGATATACAGAAAATATTTTCTTCAATGTCGAGGAAAACTTCTGAAACCAAAAATCAAGTTTCTCCCTTCTTTTATTAGATCCAGATATGGGTTCAAGATTCCATGAAAACAGTTAAAGATCTCTGGATTATTTGATACACAAAATAAATTTCTGGATGGATATTACAAAATTAACATTTCAGATATATTTATCTTTTTTATAAGAAAATTAGAGCATGTCAATAATCACATAAATCTTCATACTGAAATTATTAGGATTGTTGATTTGGCAATGGCAAACTATGTTGATATTCTTATCAAGTTGCTAATATTTGTCTTAGATATGATCGTTATTATTATTAAATTTTAAATAAAATTCAGATTGTTGTTGTAATTCTTTTGCTAATAAAGTGTAAATTTAGCAAGAACAAAACAACCAACCAAGTTCGCTAGTCATGTGTTCGCAAGATCATGTACTTTCGCACAATGAATAACCTGAAAAGGCTCATGTCCAAGAACTTCAGAATCACCTCGTGTAATTTCTTGAAAACTTCCAACCTTAAGCAGCCTCACCATTGCTGCCATTCTCCCACGTCCAAGCATGCATACCATGGGGACAAGCAACCTATACTATGGAAATTTAAGTTAAATTACAATCACGGAAAAGGTCAAAATATTATCAAACTATTACTTGCAATAAATGAAACACAACTTGACATAATGAATGATTTCCTTGAACAATTCCATTTCTTACTAAGGCACAAGCCTGAGGCCATCTAACTTCTTAGTTTGCTATCGGAACCTTGTATTGAAAATTACTACCCATCATTCATGTGAAAGAGCAAAAGAATATATGCACAATTATAAAGAGAACAAATAAATAGCTTTAACATGCAATTGAAAGGCAGTGAAGCATAAAGGAAAAACTAATTCTGTACTTGCTTTAAACTTTAAAATTTAAATAGCTTCACATAATTTCATGATTAGTTTCTTAATTGGTCTCTTCAAATTTTCATTTTTCTGGGCTTTCTAGTTCCCTCTAATTAATAAATCTGTGTGGAAACAGTCAAATCTTTTAAACGTTGCAAACCCTGATCATGAAATACATAATTACCCATGTAATACAGCTATACAACCATTCATTTCTTCTGTTATCAACCCCTGATATTTCTCTAACGAGATCACAATGTCAGGACAGTTTATTATCAGCTCTTATGACATTCATATACTTCCATGATAAACTTATGCCAAAAAAAGAAACAAATCTGTTGCAACACGAATAGGTATACATAAAATGTGTTGCTTCGGATAACTTGTTTATCTTTATCTAAACATATTATGTTTTTACAGATATAACAGCAACAACCACAGTAATGGCTAACTGGAGATGATGTGCTTGCTCCTGCTTTACAAAAGAACAATAGTTTTAAGCATGCAGATTTAACGCATAGGATACATATTGATCCAAGAGAAAAAGAACGTTCCCACCAAAGGTAAAAAAATATTACACCACATATATGACTAATCAAGACCATGAATATTGTTAAATAGTGGTCACTATATTGTGGATAATGAGATTCATAGTCACTAGAAAAAAACACTTGTCAGAACCAATATCACTCGCCCACCCACGATTAACACAAAGATGCACTTAAGGGAAACGATTGTTACATGCAAACAATGTGTCCAAGGCAAAATTGCAAGAAAATGTCAGCAACTCAAAAATAGGACACCTACCACTAGTTTACAGTTGTTATACACGTCTGCTACTCGGATTGCATGTTTCCTTCCAGAAAGCATTATGGTTTGTGTCGGTTAAATTTCCGCATTCCTAACGCCAAGCCTAATCTCACTAACCGAACACGATATCTGAGACTTCAACGATTAAATGTTCGAAATCGCATTCAAATTACCTCAAATTAGTTTCTCTCACTCCCAGAGTTCATCGGATCTCGCATTTAATTTGGTTGGAAGGAAACTAGACACACTATGCTTCTTTCAGGAATCCAACACGCAGATCACGAAAAAGAGGAAACCTTGAGATTGACCGGCGCTGAATCGGGAAACGAGAGATCAGGCGGGGAAGGGAGGGGGAATCGAAGTGCGGAACCGGCGGCGATTCGACTAGGACCCCGGGATTCGACCTTTCCTAGGTTCCTTAGAGGGAACAAGAGAAGGAACGATTCGGCGACCGCAGGTTCTCGGCTCCTCCGCCTCACGTGCCGCCCCTCGCTCGCGGCTTCGTCGCCTTCCTCGCGAGCGCTTCGCGGGGCTCCTATCCAGTCTCAGCCGCGCTTCATTGATCTGGGGCTTCGATCGGGCCCTCGCTCGAAGAGAGAGAGAGAGGAGACGTTGGGGACGTCGGATTGAGATGTTCAGCCCCTCCTACTCTCTTCGTTGGCGACAAATCAGCTTTATCTGAGAACGCTCTCCTCGAGGAGTTAAGTTTTCATTTTAGTCCTTAAATTTCTCTAAACAGCCCTTACGTTTGTTATTTTAATTCGTGACCCTTCTATGGTTTCTCTTCGATATACTGGTTTTGGGAGTGTCAAAGAAGACAAAAGTGCATACAGATCCCCCTTAAGTTTCTTATTCCCATTTGACTCCTCCTAGAATGCACAATTGCGTTCATATCCCTTATAAGTCAATGAGTTTTCTATACACACCTTTAACAGTATATATATATATATATATATATATATAACTCGCTACGAAACTCAAAAAATTACATTACTCTAATTATAATTAATCTACATTAGCTGATGGGTAGTATAATAATATTAAAACTACAGACAACCTTAATATATTTCAAAAATATTATATATTTCTATAAATTAATAGTTTTATGTTTTATTCATTTACATTAAAGTTTTTTTGTGAAGGTATTTAAATATATTAAAAGGGTTAAATGGTCTATATATTAGCTGCATATGTACATTACCTCTGAGTTTTGCTATTTTCAAATTTATTTATTTAGGATATTTTAATTATAAAATTGCATCATTAGAGTTGAAAACAGTCTTTCCGCATTGATATGAAATTTTAATTGACAATTATACACCTATAAATTTTCAAGATCCTTGCGATAAAGTGAAAAGGACATAAATACTTTTTAAAAAATCTAAGAATATTGATGGATACGAATGGGAGTAGCATACATGAAGGACATAGATACCTAAAGGAGTTGTATTAAAATGTTTACATGAGTAAATATATTATTTTTGAGAAATAAAAGGAAACATGGAATACGTTCAAAAAAAAGCTTAATTCTCCAATCCGTGAATTTTATGTGATTTCTCAAAAGGCTCCTCTTTTTTCCCTAATTTAAGACCTTTACTTTGGACGGTTTTCCCCTTTTAATCTACATTTTCAGAAAAAGAAAATGGTGCGAGGTATATACGACATGCAGACGAGGTTTTTTTGCTTTTTTGTTTGTTTGTTTGTAGGCCGATAACCATAAAGAAACTTTGGACTTATTTGGCAACATTCGATATTGAATATATATATATATATAATGATTTGCCTAAAAAAGCCATCCTTAATATTTTTAATGTAACAATACCTCTTTTTTTTTCATTTTTTGCAGTTTTTTTTTATAATGAAAAAGTATACCTTTGTACTATTAAATTTATGATATAGTTTTGGTGCATTATTTGTTTCTTAAACCAAGTGTTATACTTGGTTTAGGTTTTTTCTTAAACCAAATTAGTTAGTTCGGAAAATTATTAATAATATATTTCTATTGAAATACTTAAGTTTGTTAGTCCATCATTATTATTACATAATGGGTAGTACGGTTTTATCCTTTTTTTTTTTTTTTTGGAGGATATGAGCTCCAAAGGGCACCTCTAAAAATAAGGAAAAAATATACCTTTGTACTATTAAATTTATGATATGGTTTTGGTGCATTATTTGT